CTCGCTTTAAGAAAACAATTTTTCTGCTCAGAGATATTGGGGTTTCGGACTTTATCCATTGTCCTGGTTTAGCTCTTTCTAAGGGACCCAACAGAATAGGTGTTTTCCCTCACCTGAGGACGGAAACAGATCCGGTTTCCGAAACGTCGTGTTTTTCTTAGTTATCTTAAAACCAGGACAATGGATAAAGTCCGAAACCCCAATATCTCTGTGTGTTATACACCATCGTCAGAATTCTATAGTAATTTTTCTGTTGTATAAATATTTTACTTTTCAGATCTGTTCAGAGCCCAAATTTCGCTTCCATACTCAAAGACAGCCACTGCTATTAAATTCATCCTTTAGACGAATGTCGAAGTTCGAGGACTGCTCCTTTTCAGTTGTCCGAAACCGCATTTAGAATTTATATTAAAGCTATATTAAGCTTTCCCTCTTAAATATAAATATTTTCAGCGAGTTTTCTTTTTCGTGTTCAATCGGCTTGAAGTCTGTTACTCTGCTCTGTAAGAACTACAGCTGCACCCTCATTTCACTTACACTTGCAGCACAAAGTTCGTCTAATTAGTTTAGTAAATTTAGCATTCCCTTTGTTTTATTTTGATAGATTTATGACTGAAAGGATAAGCGTATCTTCCAATACTAAAATAAAGCTGTTAATATTCCATCACATCTTAGTTTTCTATGGTACAAACTTATGTTTGGTTTGAAGAGGACTATTTTCTGGGATATAACACCGTGTAGTCCGTTGAATGTCAACAGACTTTTCGGAGGTGATACATTCTTCCGAAACGTCGATTGACTTTCAATATGCTACACAGGTTATATCCCAGAAGGCAGTCCTCTTCATACTCACCGCTGTGAGGACCTCCATATACTTACTTTTGATTTATTTAAAGACTTAGTCAGTAGCCAAAGTTGCACAGCATCGATGCAAGTGTTGATTAGTGAAACTGAATTGGAAATAACTTGAAAGTAAACTGTCGTAGCTTAATTTGATAGATGCCTGCTGTCCCGGCATTTGTCTAGAGAGGCTGAAGAAAACTATGACAAACCCCAGCAAGGATTTTCGGTCTCCCAGCCAAGATTCGATTTCGTCACCTACTGAACAGAAAGGAGAGCATAGGCAACATTCATATCTTGATTTTTGTAATAACACCATTTAGCCTGGCGGTTCTTAGAAAAGTTTCGAAAGCCCCCCCCCCCAACACACACCACTTTTTGAAGAAATGTTTCGTCTGGTAGGCTGCCAGCTACGATCAAAGGGGAAGTGCTGCCACAAATTTTTTTTAAGAGGACTGCAGCATGTTACTACGAAATATTGGTGCCTTATTAACAGAATGTACGGTGTCGCTGCCCAGAATGACGTAACGTGAACTGTACACCACTTATTTTGTTTATTTTCTTGGGGCAAGAAGGGGTAGGTTTAGCAGCCGCCGTATTGTATTCTCGTTTGGTGAGCAAGGTTTCTGCTTTACCATTTCCAGCAATTATCCTAAATCATGTATGAAATACAGTTAATTCTACCGTTTGCATAGTGGTCCGTTACTTTCTCTCGTGTGTGTTACTAATGGACTTTTGTACGGATTCTTTGTTTTGGAATTAGTAGGCGTCAAAGTATTTGGCAGCGCTGGCTACACTACGTTTCACCTTCAGACCAAATCGTGGCTTCAGACCAAATCTCATTTGGAATCTGAGCACTCAAACGAGTCACTGATACGCGCAGAAGGAAGTATGTACGTTCATTCGGATATCAGTAAGCTATTGATGTGCAAAACAGTGTCCATACTTCAGTCATTAGAGGCAGCTCAGCTCAGTTGGTGTAGAGAATAAACTAGAGGCTGGAAGACCGAGGTTTGATACCTGGAAGAGGCAAAGGCTTCTCTCCTCCATAACTTCAGGACCGGTTGTGGGGCCCAGTCCGGCTCCTATAAAATTGGTTCCGGGGGTTAAGGCGGCATGTGTGTGAAGTTGGCCATTCACCTCCATTTACTACGAAGGTTAAAAATGCTGGATCTATACCTCTGTTCTCCCATATGACATCATAGCATAATGCTTAATTACATAATTAGGTACAGAGAAAACATACATTTTTACCTTTATGACTAAGATCTTGGATGGACGACCGAGGAATTCGAGTTTGATTCCCGGCAGCAGTAATTATAAAGGTTACGTTATCCTGTGTTTGTTTAATCAAGATTTATGCACTATAACATGAAGGCGTATGGGAAGTGGAGATATGGCTCCATTATTATTGATGAAGGTGAGTTATCCGTTTCTTACGCCAGTGGTCATCTGCTAGGAGGCAGTTTGGGCCTCAGAGCTAGTCTGGACGGTGTGGGGCAGAGAAAGATCTCTAGACCTTGGCCGGGAATCGAACACCGGCTGTCCAGTCTATACGTCTTTTCTATAACCGCTGAGCTATCCCGGCAGGAGTAACAGATGTTTGTCCTCTCCACTGCGGGCAGATCAACTCTTGGGCCCTTCTAGCCTTCTCTGTAGGGTGTACAGGGGTGAAATGGTAGGAGTATAAAGCTGGCCAATCACTTGCAAGATATTAGCGGGTTAAGAATATGTGAGAGCGGGCAAGCTGACACGAAGGCAGTTCCCTACAGCTGCATTTGGTAGGTGATCCACTCCAATCGCATCCGAGACACCGGCTATCCTCGGGTGTTAAGCGGATATCCTCAACCATTCGAGGAAAATTCGGATATAATACCTATACTGGGATACGGCAGCTGTTTTCGAATCATTTCCAATTCGTTGTTCTTCAGTCATCCTACGATAATCTAGCTACTGAAAGCTTCGCAAAATAAACCCCTTCCCTCAAAATAAAGAGAAGTGGAACAGCGCAGTCAGTAAAGGGGCTACGCTACCGGCCGGATAGTCGAAGGTTCGAGGTTCGATTCCCTGCAGAGCAAGAGACGTTTCTTCTTCACTGGTCTCAGATCGGTTCTGGGACTCACTCAGCCTCCTATCCCGTATGTATAAAGGGCTACTTCCCTGGGGTTCTAGTGACCGGGGCGTGAAACTGAGTACTAACCTCCATTTAATGCGAGGTTAAAAATACACGACACCATGACGTTTGGTGTTGCTTTAGACTTTTGTTCTTGAGGTCCTGGTTTAAAATCCCAGCAGACACATTCTGTCCTGTCATGCTCTTGTGGTTTTATTCAATTCCTCCAGGGAAATCCATTTGATAGTATTGCATCATGTAGATCCGTTGCTAAGTAATTACGGCGAAATAATAAACTATATAACAACCGCTGCTAAGTAACGGCTCCACAAACAAACACATTTCCATGGCAACAAGAGAATACAGCAATAATGGTATAGTTGCTTTCTGTATGGTCTGTGCCGAGATGTTATAAACAGGATCTGTTACTTTTCAACATGACTTTGAACTTTGTTGGCCTTTATAACATGAGTAACATGAGTTAGGATATGATCTGCTATACCAAGTTTTGTATAAATTGTACATATATATTAGAGTTACATATAAAACTGTAAATAGTAGGTGTTCACAGGGACCGGACTCTTGACAACTATGTATAATACCGACATGTACAGCTGTAAATATAAGTGACGCATACTACTGAGTTTGACCACGGTAATTATGACTGTGCTGGCTATGTTCACTATCAATTGTAAACGGTAGACCCGGCCTCACGTTTGAGACGGCGCCCCATATGAAAAGAAATAGGCAACTGTATGACAGTAATAAAAATCTCCTCATCTGGCCCCAGATGCGACTTGACACCAAGATAGACTGGCCGGCTGACCGTCGGTCGTAATATAACTTTGACTTTTACTCGTTGCAGTTAGTTATAAGACTGCTGGGGTTCGATTGTGGTGAGCTGTTGCTGTTGGAAGCTGGTAGCTGAAGCTGGAGACCGTACGAGAACCCAGAGGAAGGGGAACGTTCGCCGTTGAAAGCCGCTAGCAAGCAACGGCAGTGAAGGTGTGACTGTCGACAGTACTGTGTGTCTAATAGTGAACTCTAAAGTGTAGCCACGCGCTGTATCACAGAGTCCAATGTATCCGCTCAGCAATCCAAAACCAGTCTATAGTCACTCTCTATCACGTGACAGTATGTTCATTAGACCACAGCCGATTCCTTCCAAATTATTTTTAATTATTATTCAGCAACCATTCTACCTTCCGGAACTACAAATATGTAATATACAAGAAAAATAACACAAGAATGCATGGAGTTGCGTGTTCATCCCTTATTACGTCTTCATGAATGAGGAGCTTCATAACTTGTACTCTTCTCCAAGTATAATTAGAATGATCAAGTGAAGGGGAATGAGGTGGGCAGGGCATATAGCACGAATGGGAGAGAAGATGAATGCATATAGGATATTGGTGGGAAAGCCAGAAGGAAAGAGAACAATGGGAAGACCAAGGCGTAGGTGGGTGAACATTATTAAAATAGATATTACAGAGATAGGAAGTGATGGTGTGGATTTAATTGATCTGGCTCAGGATAGGAATCAGTGGACGGTTCTTGTGAACACGGTAATGAACCTTGGGGTTCCATAAAATGCTGGTAAATTCTTGAGTAGCTGCAGAATAGACGGCTCATCAAGAAGGGCTCAGCTCCATGAGTGAGTAAGTAAGTAAGTATTATGTCTTCGTGTTTTTTTTTANCTCAGCTCCATGAGTGAGTAAGTAAGTAAGTAAGTAAGTAAGTATTATGTCTTCGTGTTTTTTTTTTAATAAATCCAAGAAATAACTTTGCTTTTACCTTTACTAAGATTTAGAAATCATATAATTCATAACAGAGTTTTTGACGAGGGGCGAAAGTGATTATAACACAATTGGAAATAATCACATCACGTAAGGAAAGCAGTTCTCTCGTTTTAAAACATTCAAAGCAGCCGAACGTGTCCTTCAACCTGTACAGCAAGCAGAATGTGACGTAGAGTACATGGGGTGATGCCAACAGAGATCTGACGGCCGGTTTTCACTGCTACATCTCTACTCGCTTTGTAGTTGTAAATAGTCGTTAGTTGGGTTGGAGTCTTCGAGGCCGCCAGCTGTGTGTCAGGGAGGGAGTTACTGTGCTACCCGTATGTCGGCAGAGAATTTCACGGTGAACCTTCACATCTCGGAAGCATAGTGCTAAATTTTTCAATATGTGATTTATCAATGTCACTTGCTTTAAAAGCGAAGGAACCAGCCGCTTAAGAAATTTTCAACGCCGTTAGACAGCAGTAACTACAATATTTGCTTTATGACGATGAAGTTTTGGCGAGTGAATACGTTGCGCAGTAAAAAGGCGCAATGCCGTTCTCCTCACGTAATTAAGTGAATTGTTCGTCTGTTTTTCTTCTTATTTCACGGTGGTAGGAAATTGTATAAGCGGTTATGTTCAGATAATTCTTTTGTCATATTTTATCGAGTCACCCTCTTGAGGTTCTTCATTTTGTTCAGCTCTCGCCACCGATTAATTCCTTTGGACTCCTTGTTCCTCCTCGTGTAAGTTAGCCGTCGATATTACACTAAAATAAAATGCATTCTTACCACCCCTAACAAGTTTCAGTTTATGAAGAACCGTAATTGCATTTAAAGTCGTGTGAATCTTTACGATTTCCCGAATTCCAGTCAACGAAATTAAACACTTACGTCATCTGTATGCCATATTCCTCAAGCTTATGGTAACTACTCTATCGTGGCAACCAGTGGTGTTACAAACATAGGAGTATGTGTGGTTCGTAAGAATTATTAACCGCTGATTGGGAAATGAACTGTAATATTGAATATATTTGTGTCATTTCTATATTTATATTTTATCATCATGAACATAACTTCTCCAGACATGAAACTTCTAGCAAGTGTATGGATTCTTTAATTCGTTGACGTCGTTTAGCACAATCTGCGTGCCTATGGACTGTTCTGTGCTCCCATCCCGGTAAGCTGTGAAAGTGACGTCACATTCCTTTCATATTTTACTTGTGTGTTCTAAAGAGAAGTTTGGAAATCACTGTACTTTACGGACTATTATTTCACCGACGACGCGACGTCCGTCGACAAGAAGCAGCGTGCGACGGTGTGAGTGGAGGCCCTGGCTGTGCCATGAGACATGACGCCAATGACGAATCCGATGATGACGATGACGACAATGACAGGAAGGAACCTACTTCGCTCCTTGGGTACTCCCCGTCTGTGCGTTGTATTGCTACTCTTGGTGGTCATCGACCCTGTATTCAGCGGTGAGTATTTGTAAGTTGCAAACACGAATGCTGGGAATTGTTTTTCATGGTATTTCTCTGTTCCTATTAGAAACTGAATAACAAATTAGGCGTCGATCTCTCCCTTCTGCATCCTTCCGAATATTCATTGAACATACAAATACCAAGTGTCGAAATTTTCGAACTTTACAAAATTGTTCTACGTATCTAACAGCGTGTGACAGCTTTAACAATTTACCTGAGTTATATAACTAGTAGCCGGTCACGGTAGCAGAGCGGTCTAAGGTATGTACTGTTTTCGCTCGCTTAGAAACCGGGATCGTGGGTTCGAATCCCACTCAGGGCATGGATGTTTAGTTTGTATGTGTGCGTTTTTCTGTGTTTGTGTACATGTAGAGGCCTTGCGACGAGCTGATCACCCGCCCAAGGAGTCCTACCGAATGTGTAAGATCTAGAAAAACCGAAGTGAACGGAGAAGTTCATGGAGGTAGGCCTAGGCCCACTGGGGCTGTAGTGCCAAGGGAAAAGAAAAAAAAATATATAACTAATAAATATATGAAGTAATTTGTCATTACGTTTGAATTACTGAGGGAGTATTTATATTTACTCTTTAACAGTGAATGGACGATAGTTTTGTCTCAAATGTCCGTTTGTGGCTGTAGGAATTCAAACTGGCGCTTGTAGAGTTAATCTTCCGATCAGTCTCCACTATTAAAAGCGCCGCTGGCCAAGACTAAATGGGGAATTGGCACATTGCGCATCACGTGATCCTAATTAACGAAGAGATTTTATTTTTATAATATAGCGATTCCCACTGTTATGTTATGCACTCTATTTTGACATGCACAATGTTTTGTTACTGATATGAAGGATTTTCGAAGAGATGTTACTAATTTTGCCTTCATGTGGTTAATTGCTACATTGCAGATTTAATTTTTTTTTTCCGTTCAGAGAGGCCTATATTTCTTAATTTCTGTGAAAGTTGGGCTTGCTCTAAAATATTTGGCATTGGTTTCCCCTAGCACAGGGTTTTAAAGTAGTCAAACCGTCCAAGTAGAAATAACTACTTGCACTGACATTCTCGTAGTAGATCCGTCAATGCTTTCCGTGCTTGACGATGTCAGAGATAACAGATGTGATACAAATGACGAGTAATTCGTGATTAATTAGGTTTGTTATTTACTCACGGCTTTTCTTATGAAATCCATATTTTCAGTCTTCGAACTCTGTCCGTCTTGTCTAGTTTACGACTGGTGGAACTGGCTCTGGTGCGAAGAATGTAGGGCAGATCTTAGCCTCGATGGCGCTGTGCATATTAGCTCAGAAATTCTGGATTACGTCAAAGATCGGATTAGCAGTGTTCGAAAATATATTGTCATATGAATGGCTAGATTATTAATTCTGTACATAAGAAATATTTCCACTCCCTAATGATGGAGAACACGTTCTACATTCACATATACATATGAGTAGTAAAGAGTAAGCCTTCCAACGCAGGGAATTATTATTGTAGCTCTAGAGCCCTTTGTTTGGCCCTGGAAGCTTTTTCAGTTTCTTGATCCTATAAAAAAACTGTAGCGATCCTTGGACGAGTGATAAGCCCTGTCGCAAGGCCTCTGCTTACACAGAACAACATAAACACAATAAAAGCACACTGACATCCATGCCTTGAGTGGTATACGAAACCACGATCCCAGAGTTCGAGCAAGCGAAGACAGTTCTTGCCTTATACCGCGCGGCCACTGTGATGGACCCTACGCAAGGAATACGTACCCCGAAAGGGCGCTTTAATTAAATCCACTTTCGACAAACTTAATGAGAATAACCGTTAAGAAGAATGCATACACTGTTATATTTGTTGAATAGAACGCATGCAATTGGTAATACAAGTAGATACGAAATTACTAAATTTTTGTATGGCAACACAGCATTTTAACAGACGTCATATTATCGAATTCTCGACGATCGGAAAATAATATTCAGTATTTATTTTCGAGCCTATAACTGAAAGCGTGTTGGACAAAACCGCACTGGATAAGAGTGTGCTGTGTGCATAAGAAAGTACTAGAACAGTAAAAAAAAAAAAAAAAGAAACCTGGAGGTTTTCACGTATTTACAGGGTTTCAACTTCTGTGGATACTAAAAGTGCTTCTAGAAAGCCTACATATGTCAGTTTGTATACGCGTCCTTAGCTCCTGTACCGGTAGATTGATTTTATTCTATTCATGACCGTGCACGACTGAAGAGTTTATCCATCACAGGGAACAGGGGCCTTTCACAGTGGTCCCTAACATATTACAGCAATTTTCTCGAAAACGATTTTTATTAAAAAACAGTGTTAATGGGGATCATCTCAGTAAATAAAACTGCGTAGGTGATACCTTCAGGAAGGTAGTGGTACATCTCGTAGCGACCCAGACACATATATGAAAAATATGTGTAGATTCTTTGCACCGTCTTGTGTGTGTGTGTGTGTGTGTTTGCGCGCGCATGCGTGACTGAAAGATCTTAAAGTTACCTTCAAGAGAACAACAGAAATGACCTGATTCTCGAATATGTTGACAACAATTTGGATTAACTTTATTTCATCGAATGGCCTGAGTATGTTCTTTACATGATGCTCTGGAGGTTCTAATGTAGATATAATGAATGACATTTCTGCTCCCATAACTAGGCTACATATTTTTTTTTCCTTGGCACTACAGCCCCAGTCGGCCTAGGCCTACTTCCATGAACTTCTCCGTTCACTTCGGTTTTTCTAGATCTTACACATTCGGTAGGACTCCTTGGACGGATGATCAACTCGTCGCAAGGCCTCTACCTGTATACAAACACAGAAAAACGCACACATACAAACTAAACATCCACGCCCTGAGTGGGATTAGAACCCACGATCCCCATTTCCAAGCGAGTGAAGACAGTGCATGCCTTAGACCGCTCGGCTACTGTGACCGGCAGTGTATAAGAATAATATATAAGAATTCAATTCGTACCTCACAGGAAACAGATCCGAACCAACGGTCCCGGCTTCCGAGCGAACGAAGACAGTGCATGCCTTAGACCGCTCGGCTACCGTGACTGGCTTCAGTAGGATTAGTACATTTGATTCTTGTTTGATGTCCAGTGCCCAATATATCTTTGATATTTGCTGGTGGAATTTTGGTGTATATATTAATTAATTAATTAAGATGTAATTGAGCTCGGGAAATGCTTGGTACCATTCAGTCCAGAAACTTTTTCTTTTCCTCTGCTGTCTAAAAACGTAAGAATTAGAATATACAAAACTATAATTTTGCCTGTGGTTCTGTATGGGTGTGAAACTTTATCTCTGACATTAAGGGAACAACATAGACTGAGGGTATTTGAGAACAGGGTCTTGAGGAGAATATTTGGACTAAAGAGAGACGAGGTGAAGGGAGGTTGGAGAAAACTGCACAATGAGGAGCTTCATAACTTGTACTCTTCTCGAAGTATAATTAGAATGAGCAAGTCAAGGATGAGATAGGCAGGGCTTGTAGCACGAATGGGGAGCGGAGGAATGCATGTAGGGTATTGGTGGGAAAGTCGATTAAAATGGATCTTAGAGAGATAGACTGGGATGGTATGGACTGAATTGATCTGGCTCATGATAGTGTCCGCTAGAGGGCTCTTGTGAACACGGTAATTACCCTTGAGGTTGCATGAAATGCTGCACAATTGGCGACTTTTCAAGAAGGGCTCATCTCCATGAGTGAGTGAATATGTTATGTCATTTAACCACTAAGTAAATTGACGCTGTACTAACCTGGCAGCTGAATATATTGTATTCTATGAAAAAACTGGTGCGTATCCCACTCAAGGCATGGATTTCTGTGTGCGTTTATTCCGTGTTTGTATTGCCCCGTGTTTAGGAGGCCTTACAACCGTCTGATCCCCCGTCCAAGGAGTCCTACAGACTGTGCATGGGATCAAGGAACTAAAAAACGCGGCCAAGGCCCAACAAAGGGATCTAGAACCATGATAATAATAATAATAATTTTCTATCCGTTCCTCTTTTGCCCTCATACGGGTGTTGAGATTTTCTTTCATTCCTTTATTCAATTCACAGACGGTAGGACTCCTTGGATGAGTGATCAGGCCGTCGCAAGGCCCCTACCTAAACACAGGAGAACGCAAACACAGAATAAACAGATACACACACTAAACATCCATGCCTTGGGTGGGATTCGAACCCACGATCCCGGTTTCTGAGAGAGCGAAGACAGTTCATGCCTTAGACCGCTCGGCTACCGTGACAATAATAATAATAATAATAATCCTCATAGCTCAGTGAGCATAGCTACAGGCTACGGGCTGGACGGCCGGGGTTCTACTTCCGGCAGGATCAATAAGTTTTCTCCACGTCCAGACCAGAAGTGAGGCCCATACATCGTCCTGTCCAGTGGTCTCTGGGGTCTGTTTCCCCGAGGGTAATGCGTCAAGGACGTGAAATGATAACTTATCTACATCTAGTGCCGATGACAAAAAGAGTGGAGCCATAACCTCCAATCCCCCATACTTCTTCATGGCGTGGTGCTTAATTAATTAAACACAGAGACAGCTTTAACTCTTTTAACTTTAATCCACCCGAGGATGATCATTTAGTGATCGAAGCATGCAGTGAGAGCGGCTGCATACCTATAAATGAAGCTTATGTGTCTGTATACAATGTGCTTTCTGGTTTACACAAGCAGGATACGGCAGTATAAAAAACTGTCTTGTCTGAATGAGACATCGCATTCGCAGCGTCACTTTTACTTTTAATGGAATTGCAGCTGTCGCCTTATTGAAGAGCACAGCTGGTGCCGCATTAGAGGAATTGGCCTGTAATTGAGCAGTGGCAGTATTTACGTAGAGTGCAGTTCGATGCAATTGGTGTCTATTTTCGCTTGTAATCTGTTAGTTCTAGACTATCGTCTTCACTTCTTGGTATAAGCAATCAAGCCCATTCTAATTTAACATATTCATTACATCTTTCCGATGTCTTCTTCGGTTTGGGAGTC